GTTTTTGAATCGACGAAAAGACTTATGGTATTTCGTGCTCATCCGCATAATGGCAGTAAGCTGCTCATGAGTTTAGAGTTCTTATAATGTATGGCTCCACTAAAGGCCGAACAAGCGCCCATCCTAATGAGGGCAACCTCGCCACCAAGAAAATTTAGCCATAAAAGCACATCAATGAACAGCTCGCGTAGATAGGCCCAATCGTAAAAAGATTTCGATTCAAGTGTTCGCATCCAAAATCTAGTCCGAGAGTGAATGAAAGATTCAAACTCAAAGCTCGAATACTCGGAAAATCAGGCAAGAAAAATAGCTCTCTAGCCTTGTTCCAGCCCAATATAAGTGCCTAAGTCGAACATTGTGTATATCTTCCTAGCCAGGGGCCAAGCTAGCTCGAGCTAGAAGCGAAGTCCGACATACCCAAACCTCTTAGACACTAGTGATCTAGATCTCCTCTGCACAAATAATCTCGGATCAACCACACCAGAGGGGTTGGATATTCATATCGCAGCGTACACTACCCACAAAGAAGGCTGAATAGGCTTCGCTTACGCCTAAAATCTTCGACCAAGCCCACCAAGTAGTCTGAGTACTGTGATTGTGATGGCACCTCCGGTAAGTTTAGAGATGACGATGCACACATCCACTCTGAATAGACAGGGCCCTGAGACCTAGAGGGGTATGCATAGCTCAAAATGGCCTGGCGTTTCTGTCTCTATCTGGTGGTTAGCCATAGCTGGTATGTCAAAGCAAGGGCCAAGCGTTTCGTTACTCATAGGATGTAGGTGAGATGGCGACTCATCATCGAGGAGTTTATACACCAGAAGATAAGATGTACATGTAGTTGATGAACATTTTAACATCATGTTCATTTAACGGCAGTGGCAGGGTGAGAATTAAGGTTGCGTGGTCATTCGTGCCACTGCACTCGGTATTCAACACGTAATACAGCTATATATACCTATCAGAAGTACGTGTACCCGTAGATCTCTCTTGGCTAGGATCCTACCCAGGTATCTACAATACATAAGCACTAAACTGCCCACCCTCCCCCCTCTTCTCCTCATAGTGCATGTTAATCAACTCAGCATGTCTAGAGAAAGACACCTGGTGCCCGATCTAGACGACGTGCACACTATGCAATAAAGCAGTCCCTATGACTCTTTTGGATAGGGAGTTTATGTCTTTTTTATTCTATCACCTTCTGGCTGTGGACAGAGGAATGTGATGAAAGATGTATTGCGTTGTGGAATTACTTACTTAGATGGGAGTTCAGCTTCTTGTGGTGGATTGCGCATGTTGGTATGCGAGGTAGGCATTGGCTGTGCTTTTGTTAGCTCACTAGCAGCTCATACGCCTTCATCTGCGCTATTGAGTATTATATTCCACCCTTCAATCCTTTAATTCGTTGTAGATGGAAATACCGAGTCAAACCTCGACCAGATCACCAAAAGCAGCTGCGCTAATGGCTTTTCTGCTTACTCATGAGTCGTCACTCGCTTTATTGATGTCTGCTATCTATATCATGCATTTTTGGATGCTGTATAGCTCACTGGATTCCTTCTCGTACATATAGCCGCCCGATAGAGAGACTTCCCTGCCAGACAGGAGGAAGATCATGTGGTTTAAGGGTTCGGTTCCCAGCTGCAGCCCTCTTAGGAAGCGACATTGTTAGCCTGCGGAACTCGTAGAGCGGTGCACATGAGGGGGGGGTGCAAATCAGGGGACCCAAGTCAAACTCGCTTGCACCTGTCGCGATGTCTGCGCTTCTCTAACCAATCCATCAAAACCTTGGTCTTGGAAATGAGGTGAGCTTAAGAGAGTAGAGGTCACAGGCTATCACTCGGTGATCAAGGGATCTTTTCGGTGGAGATACGAGGAAGTTGTAGCTGTCAGTAGAATAAACACACGGAAGATTTGGAATCGATTCCTCCCTTCTTACTCCTACAGGCGCAATGTGTGCACCTCGGGTATAGGGGAGACATGCAGGTCTGTCCCAATGGCATTGGAGCTGGAGCTACAGAAAACGCCGTCTTGGCGGGAAGCCATTCTTCCAGTACCCCCTGGAGTGTATAGATTTATAATTTCGCGAAACGTATGGCGTATGCAAACAAAATCCATTCTCCATATCAGATTTCATGCTATGTGTCGAGTGTGCTCTAATTGGCGATTAATTGGTGACCAAAAATCTGGCTTTAAAAGGCTTCGCAATCCAGAGAACACGGCTCGGTGACATCGAAGGTGTTCTTTTGACTGGCATGCACTCATGTCTGAATCGCGGCACAACCTTCTGTCGGAAGCACCACCCATCCCCTCATCACGCTTTCTTCGCGTGTGAGTAGCTTAAGATCGCCTGAACTTTGAGCCAGGTATTGAGTAGCCTTCTCCTCGGTAAACCAAAAATTGCCACCTGCAGATGATTACTACGTCTGGAGATCTGAGCCAATTCTCAATAGGCCCATAGGATTTCGTCGACGCCGAGAACTACATGTAAGTGTCCATCCACAGCCTTGTCCTCTACACCATCGTCGATATGTGTATGAGCTTCAAAAATCTTAGTTTACTGACTGACGTCAAGATAGGACATAGCCAGCCTTCTATTATCCGATACCCCTGTCCTCTATCCCCTAGGAATAACGTTTTGGAAGCCATGCCGCGAGTCTGCTTCACAAGGCGTCTGTTACCGTAACTACCACCAAGAGCACGGCCACGAATTCAAGTACTACTACAAGGATGTGTATCCTGAGGCATGGTATGGACATACCTAGGAAGATATAGCGGCTGTAAGGCTGAACCTGGTAAGGCCTTCTTCAATCGATACTAGGGCCTCTATTGAACCCTGAGGACTGCATTCTCCAAGATACAACATGCGTGTAAAGAACCCGTGTTACCACATGTGCATGCTCACTTATCGATAATAGTGCCCAATGCATATTCTCATAGAGTTCTCTAGACATTGAAAGAACACGAAAATGCGTTGATTCGTTTCTCAGTTCACGGATATTGTCTCAAATCCAGAAATGTAGCTTTATTCTGGGTATCGATATCTCATCTTTTTTACTCGGAGGGATCTCAAACATATCTAGTTGGTTGATTGGTAAAACCCATTTCAATTTCCTCGTGCATCGTAAACTTTGAACACATCCCTGTTTTTCAGGTTACATCTACCTTTCTTCTCAATCTCTGACACATACCTATCTATATTCTAGAGACAAATCAATAATCAAAATATTGAAGGTGTAATATCTCAATCAACCGCCTATCGGCCAACCAATCTACTTGCTTTAACCAAGCCCCCACCCACCCCTTGTTCAAGAACCCGTATCCACGAGACCTGCCTGACTCTACCGACTCTAGGCACTCCACATTGATATCCTACATCAACTCGACCATAGATGGGAGAGTTCCCATAATTTCCCACCGCGTTTCTCTACGTAAAAACAAAAAAAACGTAAAACAAATCTGATTACTTCCCCAGGCGCAATCACCGATCCCGTCCCTCGATAACTATGCATGTCTCACCCCCCCTTGGATCGAGCCTCCTATCAAGCTTTTGGACGAGGCATGCACCAGACACTAGAGTAGAAACTCGTACCTAGTTGGTATCAATGGTCAAAAGAAGCCTTCTTACACGCTCTATCTAAGAGTCCTCGTAACAGCATGCAGGAGGAATTTGGAATGAATTATGCAGGCGTGTGTATGTACCTACATGCGTGACTGAATTTGAGTTTTTTAACAGGAGCTTAACTATAGATCTGTACTTTAGAGTATGCAGATCATATGCAATATGCACACTGCAGGCTTTTGACTTTTACAGGGGAAGGGAATGGAGGGCTATATGAGGGGGGTGTTATAGGCAGCAGGTATGTGTAAGACTCTTCCCAACCTATCGGGAAACTCCGCTGCCAAAGGTCGATGTTCTTCCCTATTTAGGATATCTGGACTCGGGGGATTCCAGGTTACCAGTGATCTAGAAGGAGAAGAAGCGGAAATATCCGCCTCATCCTCCGCCGTCCGGACCTTTGACTTTTGATTTTAGTGCATTTGTGTATATCACCGTTAAAGCAAGGAGGATGGATTATATCGGGCACTACAACAACTGGATCAATTTTATACATACAGACAGCTAAGCCTTCATATTTTATTTATTCAAGCGCTGGAAAAAGGAAAGAAAATAATTAATATACATGCCTACTCACTTCTCGCTTCTCTCCCTCCACTGCTAACCCCTAACGAGTATCCAAATATCCGTTTTTATACGCAGCCTTCTTCAGCGTCATGCACAACGAGAGTCTCAGTTGCTTTTCTCTGTCCAATTGGACCATTCTCACCTATTACTTTCTTTTTCTTCTTGATTGGCCAAGAATCTCTCAAAGCTCAACCAAAAAGTGCACAAAAAACCCGAGAGAAATGCACCCACTCACTCCGAATTTAGGTATTTACAGTAGCCACAGTAAAGTCCCATATTAAACTCCCACCAACTCCCAATATCACAGTTTTGCGTTTTTCTCTTTCTTGCTTTCTTTCTCTCTCTCTTCTTTGTTTGTTGCAGCAACTGCCCCCCCCTTCCTCTTCCTCCTCAAGTAGAGTACAATAGCATATTCGCTCCCCATGTCCGCCAGTTTGAGTGCAGTATCCTGCCCGCCTAGTTGCACGCACTAGTGCTGTGCCGTATCGTAGTAATCGTTGTAGGTTATACAAAACTCGAATCGAATATAAACATCCACTACCACCACCGCCAACCACCAGCCCAGTGACAAGAAGAATATTTATAAGAAAATAAGATCCCAGGACAAAATTAACGCCCCGTAAGATGATGATATACGAAAGAAGTTGTAGTAGCAGTAGTAACAAACTTGTTGATGAATGGTAAAAAAAAAAAGACGAGGGAAGAAAAAAAAAACATCCTCAATCAATCAATTAAGCCACCCATGTCCGAAAAAACAAAAAAAGTAAAACTGTCCCGATATTTTCGTCCCCAACGTCCCATTGATTGCCCATTGTTATTGCCCCGCAGAATCCTCGTCCACAACTGCTGTTCCTCCAACAAATTGTCCCTCCAAACTCGACTCCACCGCCGGCCCCGCTCCCTCCCCCGAAGACGAAGACTCCGCCGGCGACGCCGCCGCCAACGTCGTGTTCTGCCGGGCGTGCTGCTGCTGTATATGCTGAAAAAGCACGCACTCCCCAAAGATGTAACTATACTCACCGCCGCCACCCTCGCCATCGCTCCACTCCTCCTCGTCCCCGTCGCCATTATCGTGACTCCAGTCGCTTTCCTATTCAGTCCCATAGCGCCCCCCGGTCAGTCCCTCCTAAATTCCTGATATCCTCAAGATCCTAATGATAGAGGAAAGGGTAACAGACCTACCTCCTCGTTGGCCGCCGCCGCCGCCGCCGCCGATCCGCTGCCGTTGACCACGCCGTCGAGCTCTGGCAGCTCAGCGTTGCTGTAGCCGCCGCCGCTGGTGCTGCTGTTGCGTTCGCTCCGTAGTAGGTGTAGCGTCTTGAGCCGGTCGCTGAAGCCCTTCTTCCGGTTCTCGAGCACGGCGTCGTTGGCCTCCTGTAGCGTCTTTATGCGTGCGTCCCGCTGCGCTTCTGGGAGGTTCGAGGCGTTGAGGATGGAGGTGTTGAGGTGTACCAGGTTCTCCAGGAGGTCCGGGGAGTCTGTTAGCATGAGCACTGAGACGTGCTGCATTATCCTACACCACGTGAATGGGTCGCGCGAGGGGACGTTGGGTGGGTAACAGGGGACTACACCAGCGCCGCCAGTCAGCTACTACTGCACCTCCGGGGGTGGGGGTTATGTGTGTGGTGCGGATGAAGAGGGTGGGGACAAACATCTCAAGCTCGGCCTCCCGTCTACATACCAGCTCGAGCTATTCAGCGGCTGCCCCTCCAGCGGGATCGATGTGCAGTCCGCCCGCATCTCTATGAGTGTGTGGTAGTTTGGGTCGTCGCTGCGCGCACCCCCCTCTTTCAGGAAGGCCTTGAACAGAACCATCCATAGCGTGCCCTTGAGGTCTTGGTCGCTGTGTAGCCAGTCCTCGCGCGCTGTCCGTACCAGTGTCGTGTAGGCGCGGAAGTAGCCGTCGGGGACGTGCGCGAACGACCAGGCGCTTGGCGGGATGGCGGCGACATCGAGCAGCGCGGCGTGGGCGGGGAGGAGGTTTGTGAAGTGGTGGCGCCAGTGGGGGTTCGCTGTTGCGGAGGAGCAGAGGGGGCGGGAGGTGAGGCGGAGAGAGGTGAGGTCGGTGAGCGTCAGGAGGGAGAAGATTTGGTGGATCACTAGTGAGTGGGGATTGTCAGCGAATGTCTTTCTTTTGTTTCTTTCTCTTCTCCTATGGTGATATTGAAGCCAATTGCGATATTGAGGGCTGCTATCGTCGCGGTCTGAGGACGTGGGATTGGAGGTATCTCAGGGAGACGCGGCACGCTTCCCAGTCGTGTCGTTGAACCTCGCTCGACACTCAAACTCGACTGACATGACATGACATGACAAGCCAAAATGACTAGCATACAAACCACAGACAGGCAGGCAGGCAGGTTACATTAAGGCTGAATAGGAAACAGGAAGGGGCTATGAACAGCAGCAGCAGCAAGCAATCAAGCAAGCAGTAGCAGCAGCAATCAAGCAACCAAGAACGAAAAGGCAAAATAGAAAAAACGTGGGAATTGATTTGTATGTAGCAGTAGGTAATGTAGTAGTAGGACAAGCAAGATCTGTGTATCCATCCCCAGCATCACCACTATTTCTCTCTCTCACTCAGATCTCTCTCTCTCTCTCACACACCTTTCTCGCTCCCCTTACCTTCAAGTGGAAGACTCTCCAGTGATAACCCGTTCCTGCTCGCCATTGCTGTTGCAGTTGCAGTCGTGATCTCGGCCCTGGGGCTTTTTCGAGGCGGGCTGCTGCTGCTGTCAGTCTGTTGGCGGGAAGAGGGAGAGCAGCAATCGTTTGATGTTGCTGCTGCGTCTGCCACTGCTGCTGCTGATGATGATGCTGGTGCTGAGGTTGTTGATGGTTGTGGTGTGGACGACATTGATGATATAAGAATAGTCCCCGTAGTCCCAGTAGTAGTATCGGACAGACCCATGGTTGTCTTCTCCATTTATGTAGAGTATCGGGAGGTGGGTGGGTGGGTGGAAGAGGGGGGGGGAGGGAAGGATGGGGAAAATCTCCTTTGGGGGGGGGGGGGGGGGGGGGGGGGGAGGTGTCTCTGGTCTGTCTGTCCAGTCCTGTCTCCCTCTGTTAAGACTGGATCTGTCGTCCGTATGTCTGGCTGTCTGTTCTACTCTGCCGGCAGCGGGAAGTAACTACCAGCATTAAAGTACATAACTGCGCGCGCTATGCTACTACTAACCTCACCTCACCGTCTCTCTTCATGTAAAATCGCGATGCAACATGCGGGCTAGTGTAGGCCCCGTTTCTGTTCTCAGAGGGAGCTTTTATGCTTTTTATTTGCTTTTTTTTCCCTACTGGCTGACTTTGTGGTGGTGGTACATATGGTAAGTGGTTTTGTTTGCTTTTCTTTTCTTGCTTCCTCCTAAGTTCTGAGGTTTACCGACTTTCTTTTTTATTTTTTTATTTCCTTTTTTTCTCGAGGTAAGAGTAAAACAACCTTTTCTGCGACTGAGGTCCGTGTCTGGCTTCTCTTATTTTTCTTTCTTTTCTTTTTTGGGGCTGTTTCTGTTTCTGGTCTGGGGGGGGGAGGCGGGGGGAGGGAGTGAGGGAGGTTTTACAATGCTTTCTTTTTGGCTGGCTGGTGCTGGTGAGGTGAGCGTTAAAGAAGAAAAAAGAAGGGACGACGACCAAAGCCGCAGTTGCTTTTCAATCAAATCTGTATCGTACCCAGGTAGATAGAAGATGGTAGCACCCTCCCTACTGCCTTCCCCCCTCCCAGTAAAAAAAAAAGAAAGAAGGGCGATAATCCCCGTAGAGACGTAGAGCGACTGGCAGGGATGCGTCGCACAAAGACAGCACGAGAAGGGGCAAGCGAGAGGAAATGGACTACATACAGGAACCTTAGACTACAGTACCTACGAGTCCTCTACCACCTACCTTACCACCTCCTCCACAGACAGATAGACAGACAGACGAGACGAGTAGGTAGGCAAAAAAGTTAGGCGGGGGCTTGAGACCTGCGTCGTCGCGTTGGTAAACTAAACGTGGGAAAAAGAAGGTTTCCCTGCTCCTGCATGACAAGACAGACACTGGTTGAAGCTTTTGTAGCAGGAAGGGAAGAGGAGGAAGGGGGAAGTATCAAGCGATCAGCACTTGACGAGCGGAGGCTTATGCACACAAGAGCTTGTTGAAACGCCTCTACATGCGTAAGGCAAGTATGGAGTAACAAGCCGTAACAGGCGCCGCTGGACTTGACCCCAATTAATTAACTGTGAGGAAATCTTCTCCTCTAGCCCCCAAGCTAGCTGGTTAGGCGCGTGTTTGTGGTGGTTGTGGTTATGGTGGTTGGTTCATCTTGGTTTTGTGGTGGTCGTGGTGGTGGGTGGTTTCGGGATGGATGTAGGTACGGTCTACTGGGCTCCGTAGGCGGACTTAGGAACGAGAAACTTCTGCCGGCCGGAGGGGAGGAAGAGAGGGGGGGGGGGGGGGGATGGCAGCGGTTACGATAACGGTTGTATGTATGTAGATATGTAGAAGTACGTATGCGTTTGTGATCTTGACGGGTTCTTCCATTTTTTTATTATCGTGGAATTTTTCCAGACGATTTCTGCCCCGAACCAACATGAAGCATTTGGCGTGTTGAATAAGTAGAGGGGAGGTGGAAGTCCCTTCGAGAGCTTGGAGAAACTCGGAATTGATTGCTAGTCTGGGGGAACCACCATCCCAGCAGCTTGGGACGTTGATGATTGATGATGATCAATCAAGATAGCTCTAGAACCAAACAGGGTTAGCGGAGTGATTGGTGCCAAGGATATTTATGGGAATCTTGAAGGAAACGATGGAAGATGTGATTGATTGATTTGATTTGATTTGATTGATTACTCTACTCCAGCGAAGATCACAAAATAGGGTTTATGCTTTGCCTAGGTGCGGCGTTGAAGATCCATGGATGGAGCACTGTAGCTGTCTGTACCCTACGGTGATACCTACAGCATGCCTGGGGAGGGGCGGGGGGGAAACGAACATGACAGCTGCTGTAGATTTGTATGGGTCGCTGGTGACTGTCACTGATGAGCTCACTGGGGCGTCCATTCAACGCGTGAGGAGATCACGTGCCTCAGGCGGGCTGTGCTGCGGGAATGTTTACTTGTTTAAAGTCCTGGGGCGGGCTTGGTGAGGTCGCCGGGCACACACACACACTCACACTCACCAGTTGCGCACCTAGGAACGATATCTAGGCGCCCTGTTCCTGCGAACATTACGAACACCGAGCACTATATAGTCCCTGAAGCTGAGGTACGCCGTGCGTAGTAGTATGAATCGGGTACATAGCCTTTGTAACACGCGCGCATATAGCCTTTGTAACCACAGATGCGTCATAGATTCTTTCAACATCACCCTCATCATCTGCCCGGCCGTGATCCCAACAGCTGAGAACTGAGAACTTCGCCCATATCCGTTATCGCCGCCGCCGCCTTCGCCGCCTGCGTCCTCGGGCCAATCTTTATAAGGGACGCGTTATAGCCATTTCTTGCCTACATAGCTCTCGGCATACTCGATTCACTTGCAAAGAGAAAGGAAAAAAAAAGAGGACAACACGGTCCCTCTCATTTCTCCACTTACCCCACATCTGTCAAGCAGTCAATCAATCAGCCACCAGTGCAGCAGCAGCGCAGTGTTACCATCGCTCGTTTCCTGTACGAGACTCTACATATGTATGTCAGCCAATAATATCAAAATCTATTGGTCCCCCCCCCCCCTTCCCTTCCCTTCCCTTCCTTCACCATCCACTGCAGACCACATATATCTTGCTAATACCTATTCCCGGATCTGCAGCTACCACCAGTACTACTAGTTCCCTACTGCAGCAGTACCATGGCCTACTACCAGCAACCTCCCCCAGGGAACTATCCCCCACCACAGCAGCAACAGCCACCCCCAGGGGGTTACCCACCGTACGGCCAGCAGCCACCATACGGGGCTCCCCCGCAGTCGCCATACCCGCCACGGCAGCAGCAATGGGGCCAGCAGCTCCAACCACCCCCTGGAGGATACCAACAACCCCCACCGCCGCACAGTCCCGGCTTCCAACCCCCACCGCACAGTCCTGGGTTCCAAGCACCACCCACCCAAGGGTACCCACCGCCTCAGGGCCCAGGCTACGGCCCTCCTCCGCAGCAGTTCCAGCCTCCCCCGCACCAGGGATATCCTCCTCCACAGCAAGGATATCCTCCCCCACAGCAAGGCTATCCTCCCCCACAGCAGCAAGGCTATCCCCCACCACAGCAAGGATACCCACCTCCACAGCAGCAAGGATATCCTCCTCCACAAGAGTACCCGCCACAAGGCTACGCCCCAGCACCACTCGTGCACCGCGACTCTAATGGCTACCATCCTCCCGCGCCGCCTCCTAGCCAATTCCCACCACAGGGCTTCCCGCCCCCGCAGCAGGCCTCATACCTCAACCCCCTAGGCGTCGGCGGCGCCCCCCCACCACCAATCGCACACTCCTTCCCACCCGTCGCTCCACGCATCATACCTACCGCCGACATCGATACAATCTACAAAGCCTGCAAAGGCTTCGGCACCGACGAGAAGGCCCTCATCAGCGTCTTTGGCTACCGCGAGGGCGACGTCATCGAGGCCATCCGCGCGCAGTACTCATCACACACCAAGCGCGACCTCATCACAACGCTCGAGAAGGAGACAAGCGGGAACTTCCGCACCGCGCTCAAGGCCGTCGCATTCGGCCCCAGCGAGTGCGATGTCTTCTTCGCGAACCTGGCCATCGCGGGCTTCGGCACAAACGAGAGCATGCTGACGGAGTCAATCATGGGCAAGACAAACGCAGAGGTCAACAGAATGAAGAGCATCTACCCCCAGCGCTACAAGGAGTCGCTGGAGTCCGCCGTGCGCGGCGACCTCTCGATGAAGACGGAGAAGCTGTTCATGATGGCGCTGTCGGGCCAGCGCATCGAGGACTGGGAGCCCATAAACCCGACGGTGGTGGCGGGTGACGTCGCGGCGATTCATAATGCGTGCGCTGGGCTCGGCACGGACGAGATCACGGTGTGTTCGTTGCTGACGCGCGCGAGCGAGCCGTATCTGAGGGCGCTGGCGACGGAGTATAAGAACAGGCACAAGATCGACCTGGTGAAGCTCATCAAGAAGGAGTTCTCGGGACACATGCAGGATGCGCTGGTGTATATTGTCGAGGGTGCGCTGAATAAGCCGACGCGGGATGCAATACTACTGGAGGCGAGTATGAAGGGGATTGGGACCAGGGATGAGCTGCTGATCTCGAGGCTGGTGAGGATGCATTGGGATAAACACCATTTTGAGCTCGTCAAGAGGGAGTTTAAGAGGTTGTATGGCAGGGATCTGCAGTCGAGGGTCAAGGGTGAGACCAGCGGGGACTATGGGAGGTTAATGGTTGCGCTGTGTTCTTGAGGCGTTTTTTCTTCTTCTTGCTGTTTCGCTTTTTGGTTGGCCGCTGATGATAAATGTCATGTGTTTATTTATCCAAGAGAGATAAAGAGAGCCTAATCTGTATTTGTGTTTTTTTATGGGGTAGCTATGTCTGCGGTGGGGGGTGGTTTGCTCTTATGTCTGCTCTTATATCTTGCTTGGTTAGTACTCGGGAGGTTGGTATGTAAGGTAGTACATTAGTGCTATCGTTTGGTTCGCTGCGCGTGGGTTGGGATATCTGTTAGTGGCCTAAAAAAGTAGAAATTGTTCCTTTTATATTCATCTAGTTTTTAATGCTTGCTCTTGCTCTTTGTAGGCTAACTATATCTACGAATCTTTTTATATTTAGTGGTGCGTAGGATTGGGACCCGTGAATCTTGATTTCATAGAAGTCCCTTCCCGAGGGCCTGGGCTTGAGGTGGTGAAGTTGAGCAGATAGCCCCCGGTTCAAGCGCCACAGATGTGGCGCTGTGGCAGTGCGGTCGAGTGATTGTTTGTGACTGCCGTGCGCAAACGTCGTTGGTCGAGAAAGGACGAGCTCTTTTTTGTGCTTTTTATGGAGCTAGTTAATGGTTATAGTGAAAGGACTCGTGTATAGTATCTCTGGGGCGGTGAGGACGCTTATGGCTTGAAAAGAGGTGTGTTCGATTGATCCAGGGTTGTAGACTCAACAAGCCGTCCGTTGGTCTTCCTTTCTGGCGTATATACAATGTATCTGTTGACGGGGGGCGTACATACATGTACATAGACAGAACAGACATAGGTTGGCATTTGCGGCGCATCGGTACGTTGGCCCTTTCTTTCCCCCTTCCCCCCCGAATCCCGGCAGGTGTACGAGATGGATATATCAGAGAGCTTCCCTATTTCAACAAGAATAGAACTGAGGTAAAAGAGAAAGAAGAAAAAAAAAACAATTGTTTGTATAGTGGATCTAAGCGGGATTCGAACCCGGTATCCGCTGTCGTCATAAGTTTCCTAAACCGGAGGCATATACCACTATACAAACAGAACTTGTTGGAGGAACTGCGTGCTGGGGAGGATGGTAAACGTACGTATACGTATACGTAGTCTCGTATAATACATGTACCCATCCCGTACTTGCAGTAAGCTAGCGTCCCAACAAGCCGTCCGTCGGTCTTCCTTTCTGGCGTATATACAATGTATCTGTTGGCGGGGGGCGTACATACATGTAGTACATACTTGACAGAACAGACATATGTTGGCATTCGCGGCGCATTGGTACGTTGGCCCTTTCTTCCCCCCCCCCGAATCCCCGGCGCCCACTACACAGGTGTACGGGATGGATATATCAGAGAGCTTCCCTATTTCAACAAGAATAGAACTGAGGTAAAAGAAAGAAGATAAAAAAAAACAATTGTTTGTATAGTGGATCTAAGCGGGATTCGAACCCGGTATCCGCTGTCGTCATAAGTTTCCTAAACCGGAGGCATATACCACTATACAAACAGAACTTGTTGGAGGAACTGCGTGCTGGGGAAGATGGTAAACGCACACACGTATACGTACGTAGTCTCGTAACCCATCCCGTACTTGCAGCAAGCTAGCTGCCCACCAGTCCCAACAAGCCGTCCGTCCATATACCCCACTACCTAGGCTCGCCCCCAACCAACCCATCTGCTTCACAAGGGCATAGTGGACCTCGGTGATCAGCGGGGAAGTCTTGGAGTAAGTGAGATGGAATGATGGAGAGTGGGTGGAGCGCCTCTGGCTATGGCGAGGCTTGGGGAGGGGAGTGGGTTCTTTTTATACTGCGGTTGGTTGGGATGTGTTGAGATGATGATGTGACTGCTGTGATCGAGGGTGGTGGGTAGAGGTGTGGGCGGGTGTTAGTGGGATGTCTCTAGCTCTCTCGCGACTTCTTACTTCCTCTCTCACTCATGATACAGATTGGAACTCGACTGGCAGATACGGTAGGTAACAATGAGTTCTAACTGTCCTTCTGCTCCCCCTTCCTACACGTTCAGATGGAGCATCGGCATTAGGCCGGAGAACTAGGAGAGGAGGTTGGGCTCTATTTCGTTGACTCTGATACTAAGAGGAAGCATTAGGCCTTAACCATGGGGAGAGGGGGCGAGAGGAGAGTGATCAACCTGAACATTGCGGGTAACGCCAACCAGCCACACTACCTAATATCAGTAGCTGGGGTTATTTATGGTAAGTCATTGTGGTTGTTGTTATTGACAACTAAATTGTTGCCAATGTTTTATGATGTACTCCGGACATTGTTCCAAACTATCTGTACTTTTGTCGTTGAGCCATCTGTTCTTTAAACTGTACCTATAAAGATGGCGCCTTCTCTCCCTCTTCCTTGTTTTAATAATCAGTGCATACAATCAACTTCATCGGTTCTCTACTGCTCCAAAGACTACATGTATCTCTGAAAGCAGCAGGCAGACACCCGCATTTAGCGATTACAATGAGCGAGTGATATGCCATGACTACACTACATCCACACCACGCAACGTTCCTACTCCACTAGCGAAACACATGGCTAAAAAAAGGTGCCTGTCATACTTAAAGACGCGCGTAGACTGCCTCTTCCAAGAGAGATCATGACTACAGGCTCAAATGTTTAATAGCAGGTGAACGAAACCCGCGCCCACACCGGCACCCACCAAATATAGAATGAATGGGTACGTTCGCCCCTACCATTTAGAGTCGAACCGAGCTGTCGTGGGTAACGGAATGAAACAAAGCCTATAAGCTATTAGTTCTACTCTACCTGGGGAGCTGGGTGCTGTCTATCGAAAGCCCCCTCTCTCTCTTCCTGTACAATGTAGAGAGACCAACCAGCCAGTCTGTATGGATATCTGGTAATGTACTCTATCGATCCAAGAAGTACTATATGGCATTATGCTACTTCTTTCCTTTTGGCATTACCCCAACAAAAGGGAAGGGAAGGAAAGAATACCGCGACCCCTTGTACTATGGTCATAAGATGTCACTCGGTCTATTTACACTAGCTGACTGGCTAGCTGTCTCTATTACCCACCTGCCAATTACAACTACTGTGACTTGAACTACGTATTGGGACAGCTATTATAACGCCGAGTCTAGCAAATGCTGAAGAGCATATGGAGGGACCGTATCGCTCATCATCATCACTCGAAACCTACCTGCTCTCCGCTCAACCCCACTGCTCTACAACCCCAACCCCACTACAGCTCCAACTCCAACTCCGCCACAGCCCCAACTACTCACCTATCCGCCCCAAACACCCCGAAACAAAAACCAAACCAAACCACACAGCAGCAACAATCCGCCCTGAATTAGCAGCACCCTACCTAAGAAAGCCTATTATACATGCAGATAAAAAGAAGCAAAAAAGGAGCAAAAAGAAAACCCACTCCACTAGTCGAAGTCCCGATTCTCAAACCTATCCCTATCGAAATACTTAGCGCCGATGGTATTTCCATTAAATAGCCGTCCCTCGAGCGCTTGTACTGCCTGTTTATATGTGGTCAGTTAGTATATATCCCTACTACCTCCTTATATCTTATCAAAAAAGAGGAAAAACCTACCCTTAACGCGCTCAACTGACTGGTAAACACCACAAATACCCTACTCTTCGTGCGCCCCTCCCTCCAGTGCACGAGCACTCTCTCCACCTTACCATACTTCCCCTCACACTCCTCACCAATCTCCTGCACCAGCACGGCCTCATCCTCGTCCTGAAGCCCGTCCACCATGCTCTCCAGCACCACCACCTCACTGATCTTCCCCTCGTCGGGGTTCGCGCGCTTGTTACGGTCAATGATCTTGCCGCGGCCGGCGAGATCTTTAGACTTTGAGGCGGCGACCATGCGCAGTGGTTGCACGATACCGCTGGAGTCGGCGCCGAGCCCAGTGCCCGATTTCCAGCCGTATTTGGACATGAGGCGCTGGGCGAAGCCGGCTTGGCCAGGGAGGGTGGAGCGGTCGTCTTCGGCCGGGGGTTGGGGTGGTGGTGAAGAGGTGGAGCGTGCTGGTGGGGGAGAGGTGGGAGGGGCGGGGGCGGGGGCGGAGTTGTTGTAGAGGACGGGGGCGCGGGAGATTGTTGCTTCTGGTTGTACTGGGGGCGGTGGTGGAGGTGGAGGGGGAGGCGGGGGGTGGAATGATGGTGCTGGTGGAGGGGGAGTCGGTGTTGCGGTAGCAGCAGCAGCACTGTACCCGGCTTGTCCCATCTGCGACATGCGGATACGACGCGCATATGCATCCTCTCCTGACGCATCATCCGGCACCTCCGCTGGCGGGGGCGGCGGTGGAGGCGTCGGCTGTGACCTTACTACCCCGCTACCACCCAGCGACGGCGGCGGCGCAAACGAGTACCCCTTCGGCGGCGCAAACCTCCCTGCCGCCGCCGCCTTATACGCGCCGTCCCTCCCCCCGTCCTCCTCGTCACTGTCCCCGCCCCAGCTGTCGTCCCTCTGGCGGTGGCGGCGGCCATAGACCCTCTCGCGCCAGTCCTGCATCTCCCTGACCTTCTCGTCGCCCTCACGGTACTCCTCGTAGCTGTTGGGCCGGCTGGGGTCGTAGACGTCGTCCCAGTTTGTGGGCGGCGGTGGGGTGTCGCGCGCCTTTTTGCGGCGCTTTTTGCTGCTGCTTGTGGTATTGCTGCTGCGGTGGTGTTGCTTGGAGGAGCTGGCGTAGAAGCCGTTGACATCGTCATCGCCGGTCCAGTCCTCGAGGGTGGTTTTTGTGATGGGGCGCGGGGCGGCAGAGGGGGTGGGGTCGGCGTTGTTTGTGGCGGTGTTATTGGTGGTAGAAGTGCTGCTGAGGGCACCGGTGATGGGTTTCATGGAGATTTTGGGCTTCGTGGGTTTTGTGGGTTGTGGGCGTTTTGTGATTGTTGGTTGGAAGCGGAGGGATGCTGCGGCAGCCAGTCAGTCAGTAAGTATCCTGTCTATGAGTTCTCTTCTCTCCTCCTCCTCGATATATCACCCTCTTCATATGTTTGCTATATAGTTATGAAATCCACACTTACCAGCGTTCAACTTCTTCTGCCCCGATCCCCCAGTTCCCGCACCACCTACTCCCATCCCAGCTGCTGCTCCTGCTGCAGAATCTCCATCCTTCGAGCTGTTGGCGCCCGCAGCAGCAAACACAACTGGCGCACGGGAGATTGAAGCCGTGTTTGCGGGCTCGAGGAGGTTTGCGTATAGCCCTGAGCGAGCTGGCGGAGGGTCTGGCATTTCTGTGGGGTGAATTGGGTCTCTGGCAGACAGACGGACAGATAGTCGCGGTTTGTGGTATTGTAATTGCTGGATTGACGCATGCCGGTCATGATGGCTGTTACCCTGCCTAGCGCCTGCGTAGTTGCCAGGGCCCACCCACCAGGCACCCAACACAGCTCCGTCCTCGGCCCGGGTGTGTGTTTCCCCACCATTTGCGTGTGCGGGGAGCTCTCGTGTAATCATTGGTAGCTAGCTAAATATAAACATATGGACCCCTCCATACAACATCCCCCCCACTCCCCTCCTCCATCCCACCCCATCAATGCTCCTCAAACCCCGCCTCTTCACACCCATTCTCCGTTCAACGCTCACAAGAACCACTATCCGCACAATGTCTGCCGCACCACAGAAGATTGAGTGGCTCTGCATCATGCCTGACCAGCCGGATGCGCTGGCGAGGAGGGTGGAGATTAGGCCGTAGGTCTCCCTGTGTACTTGTATTTGTGTTGCAAATTGTAGTTATGGTATAATTGTGATTATGATTGGGTTGTGATTGTAATTGGTGTTAATATATATCTAAAATACAGAAAACACTTTGCCGGCCTCCAGGCACTAATCGACAGCGGGTTCATCAACTTTGGCGGTCTGCCCCCTTCCCCCCCCCCCCCCCCCCAAATCCCACCTGTCCACCCTCACCACAACTGCTAACATAACGAACCACAGGCGCATACCTAAACGAACCCGAACAGCCCGACACGCCACTCGCCTTCCGTGGCAGCGTCCTCACCTGCCTGGCTGCCACGCGCGAGGAGGTCGAGGAGACGCTCAGGAAGGATCCGTATACGACGGGCGAGGTGTGGGATTGGACGAAGGCGCAGATTTATCCCGTGAGTATTGCCCTGAGATGTTGCGTTGTGCTGTGTGGGGGAGAAATGGGGAAGGGATGGAGAGGGAGAGGAAGGGGTGTAAAGGATTTGGCTAATGCGTGTGTTGTGGGGGATAGTTCAAGTGTGCGGTTAGGCTGCCGTTGGTGAAATAGGTGGCTAGATAGCTAGGTATCTAGCTGGCTACATCTATGGAGGTAATGGGATGGTAGTAATGATAGCAGGCAGTATTGTTCCTTTTCGGCCTGTGGGGTTTGGTACAATATTTAACTACTCAGCTAGAGCTAGAGCTATGATACTACTGCATACTTTACTACTGACGTTCCGTTCCTTTGGATTTATGTGCCGTTTGGGATGTAGCTGTGACTATTGAGTCTTGAACATGGATACGGTGATCGATGCTGCTGCTTCAGCCCCCTTATTGGTCCCTCATGGCAGCTCTACATTCGTACGAGTGATCATCCATGATTCTATCGCTGCCCAGCTAGCTATGCTACTGTAGTGGCTACAAGTAATGGGGTTAACTGCACCGACATTTCGATGAAATAAAGCACAGAGCCATAACCATTCCCCTAGATCCTTTCCCCTCGACCCTTTTCCCTTTCCTTTCCTTTCCTTTCCTTTCCTTTTTTTTTTTTTACCATTTCCTACCACCGTCCCACCATCCCACAGTCCCATCCGCCATCCAGACCACACTACAAAAACATAAAAAAAGGTCATTCACTACAGCACTCACACGCATTCACTACAGCACGATATTTTTCCCCCCCCGGGGGGGGGGGGGGGGGGTCTTCACCGCGCTCGCTCGCTACAAGAGGAAATAAAAAGAAGAAATGACATGAAAATTTAAAACATGAATATTGAATATAAATAAAAAGAAGCCGAATTCCCACACACCCCTCCACCCTACTTCCCACAATCCACTGTTGAAAGAAAAAAAGACCAGCATACCCTATCCATAGATACTAATACGAATAAATAATACCTCGCCGCCAGTCAACTCCCCTATCATCATCGCTCAGCAACAGAGAAAAAAAATAAGAAAACACTAAACAAGCAACAACAAATCTAGTTTGCGCATCCGTCATTAAAAAGAAAAAAAGAATGAACATAAAAACAGAGCCTATCGGATAAGCCAGCTAAAGTGAGGATAGATATAAATCTACCCTCTTCGCAATGCTTCTTCCCCTTCCGCTACTGGGGTGTGGATGCTTCCGATACTCCGTCCAGTCCCACCCTTTCGCCCTGTATATAGCCGTCCGACGTCCTTGCATACATATCTATATTATATTTTTACCCCAATCCCTTCCGCCTTTTCTCCCCGTCTTTTTGCTTCAGCTTTGTGCTTATGCCGGTCGTCTGCCCAAGTTTCCGGGCTTCTCCTCCGTGTCAATGTGCCAGACGACATAGTTTGGCAGACCAATCACTTGGTATCCAGCACGCTTAGCCATCTTTGCGAATCCTTCCGTTTCGGCTTGATTCTCAAAAGCGTAGGCAGGGAAATTGACTCCTAGGAACTTGTTAGCCTGAAATTCATTAGGCAAGCATTAAAAGTGCCACTACTAACCTGAACGATGAACATCGGCCTTTACAACAATGTTGACACCACCAATACCATCGAGCTCTATCTCCTCATCCTTGTTGTTGCGCCAATCACCCATCTTGGCCATGTACTTGCGCCCAGTGTCGTATTGCTTGTAACCTATTAAACAAAGTTTGAGTCACGTGATTCCGGATATCATGGGGTGCGCTCCGGATGCAAACCTTCGGCGAGGACGGTGTCCTTGGGTAACGTGGCAGCCAAAGCAAGGCCCTTCTCGGATTCTTGCCATGAGTTGTAATCGACTGCGCGTGAATTGGGATATTAGCTCAATGTAACAAAGAAACTAAAGAAAAAAAGAAAAAGTGGGGTACGCACAGCGTCCTTCAATGTCACGGCCGTTCTCATATCTGTGGAACCAAACGTCTATAAATACCGTTCCGTCAGCGCTTCTCTCTTTTTTTACTTTTAGGATGGAAGCTTGAACGCACTGGGCACCAAAATATCCTTATCGTGGGCGATAAAGTCCTGCAGGATTGTCTTTGGAGAGTCCTTGATGTCCACATCTCTCCAGTACACCCAGCTGTGATCGGGCTTCAGGGCGGCTGAGAGCAAGTAGTTCCTTGCCTTGCCCATTGCCTTTCTCCTGGGTCCTTGGAACTCAAAGCTGTGCCTCTGCTCGACGCTCTGTGCAACCACAACGCCGAAATCCTTCTCAACGATCATGACACTTCTGAACGGGATTGCTGCGTCTGGGTTGGTCTGAATCCGCTGGAGCTCCGAGCTCAGGATCGCCACGGTGTCATCAGTGGTATCGCTGACCAAGAACGCAAGGTCGATAAGGTCGTGAGGGTACGTCAGTTGAGAGAGGAGGTCAAAGTGCCTAGTGATGTAGAATGAGGCGTCGCGAAGCGGGGTGAGAATCAACACTCGCTCTTTATTCTTGACGGCATCGCGAGTGGACTTGATTGGGTTCAAATCAATGTGACTGATGGTCGTAGCGTTAACTTCAAAGGGCTCGTGATGGTTAAACAACACCGGGGTCTGGTGGTGTGCGTGCCAGTTCGCATGCTCATTTTGGGAGATTTCCATAGGTGACCTAGCAGGACCAAAGCAGTAAAATCTATAGGGAGACATTTTGTTAGTTTCAGGTTTGTTTTCCCATCTCCCCATCCCACTACCGCGATGCTGTTTCGTTTATCAATTCATCCATCAAGCCTCGTTGTCATCCTATCATTCCCCGCGCAGGTAGTGTGACATTCATCCCACCGTAGCGAATTGCTACCCCTTGATTCTTCCGAAGCTCTCTGGCACACATTCGAGGAGATTCCTTACTTTTGCATATTCGCGGCGGAGGAGCTGAACCCCCGCCATAGTATTATAATGAACGCCGAAAGAAAGACGAAAAATAGGAATCGCGTTCTGAAGACCACCTGTCCGATTGCCCGCAGCGGTGGCAGTTTGTTCCGGATCGTCTTGACCGTCATCCCCTTGGGTATCATGGTCACCATCTTCGCTTCAAACGAAGCAAACGCAGGCTAAAATTTTGTTGAAATGAAATAAAGGTCTCTCCGGATAAGGAAGAGAGAATGTCGTTTTTTCAAAGAGTGGGTTTTTTTTCTTCTTCTTTTCCGGAGGGCGAAAAGGAAAGAAGGAATTCACCAGAAACGAAGGACTGGGTGTGTGTGAATGGGCAGATAAGATATGGGGGGAGAAAATAATGGTGCCAGATCAATGGGATTGGGATGGGAGGGACGGGGATGGGGGCGAGGATAGGGATGCGATTTCTCCCTCTGGTGTGTCGAAGTCGCTAGGGCCCGGCGGAGGAGCGAGGATGTAGGGAGTGGTGATGATGTTCTAACGTTACTGTGAAGGAGGACGACGCGGCAGAAGATTAAGGAATGGGGCAAAAAAAAAAAAAGGAGTGTCGTTGCAACGGAAGCTGGTCTCCCCACCGTCCAAAGCTATTTTTGGCGAAGTTCACAACTTGTCCACAGAAGAGTTATTAACAACCAACTCGACCCAACGAGGTATATGCGGGGAAGAATGAGGAAAGAGGACTGAGATCATGTTCTAGAAAGGCCTCTAGATACTGATTTGCATCTTTTTTATCCTTTTCATTCTGCATTTCCATCTCCTCGCATGCCCAGACACTGGACAGCTAAGCTACATGTCTACCGTGGTTTATCAGAATGCTAAGATCGTAGTACTTCAAGCTCACCCCTGAGCGAGCCAATACCTGCTTTGTGAAAACCTACTTGCTAGCTTCAATCCGAACGCATGCCCTTTACCATCTTTACTAATCCAAACATTTCAATCAGAGGATTTTCACAATCCCGAAACTCTCAATCGCAAAGAAGATGTTATCGTCCTTATCCCTCCATCTTGAAACATGACGCGTCATCCGTGCTCTTCTGCACTTCCGTGGCTGCCGTACGCACATACAGCACCTTGTGGACTTGTGTTACTTGCTTCAAAGCTCAAAGCATACATGTACTATACCCAGCATAACTACAGGTATTAGCACCATCACTATCCCTTGGAGTAAAAGTACATAACAGTACGCATCCCATCCTGCCAACTCCGTGGAGTCAAAGAGAAAAGGAAAAAAGGAAACAAAAAAAGAAATAAGAGAACCCTTCCCGCTCCTACCAACCCTAGATATGATGAAAATCCCGAAGTAAAAAAAAAAAAAAAAGAAATTTGAAATTTGAAATTTGAAAAATCAAAAACGAAAACACCAAGTCCCGTACTCCCAGCCCAATTGAACTCATCTCTGTAGCGCCTCTCTAAGAGCGGTTTCGCTGTAGTTCCAGAGCTTCTCATGGTCTCCTCTTTTGAGCGCCTTGCTGATGTCGTACTCCGTGGAATAATGGTACCTCATAGACCAAGTCATGACAGGTACATAAAATTTTCCTCTTATGTCCTTCTCGACTACGGCCTTTGATGTTGACAGGTAGATCTGGGTCATGGCGCCCTCCAGGGGAGTGAAGCTGACAGCCCCGACGGCTTTATGGACCATTCCGTTGAACCATTGAGGAATTCCTAAGGCGTCCTGTGAGGTGGAAAAATGTTAGCAATCTGACACTTCACTGATGGAGGGTTTTTTTTTTGTTTTTGTTTTTGAGACGTCATGAAAGAAAAGTAAAAAAAAGCCACGACTTCATGAATGCCTGAATATAAAGAATGTGGATACTGACATTTGCGCCTAATCCCGTATCCCCAATTGAACCTACGCCCCAAAGGTCAGTAATCCAATCTCGGCATGCACCAGACAAGATAAAGTCAATTTACCTGGATGACAAGCATTCACCCTTATCCCACTAATCCCTCTTGCTTCCAAGCGCTTGCTGAGTTCCTGGGTGAACAAAATATTGGCCATTTTGCTCCTTCCGTACCTCCTACCCGCCGCTTTCATATCTAATATGCTTTTTCCTTCGCTTTTCACTCGAATTGAATCAAAGTCGATCCCATTATTCCCCGCAAATTGATAGGCCATGCTGCTAGTCACGACAACCCTAACATCCCCACCATTAATCCCTGACGTTCTCTCGAGCAATGGTAGTAATGTGGTGATGAATGCAAAGTGTCCCAGATGGTTTGTCGCGAATGACCTATCATAACCGTCCACGGAAAGCTGATCGATCGACTCAAACGCGGTCCCGGCATTCGCGACCAATATGTCTAGTCGGTCATGATCTCGGAGGAATCGATGCGCAGATTCATATACGCCTTTGAGATCTAGAAGATCGAGATGGTGATATATAATTTCGCCGACTCCTTGGGTGGCGGGAAATAGGCGCCGTTGAATATCGGCTATTGCCCTGTCTGCTTTCTCAGGATTGCGTGCAGCGATGTAGACGGTACAGTTTCGACGGGCAAGGAGATAAGCTGTTTCGAGACCGATACCAGAGGTTCCACTGGATCGAGGAGAGTGTCATGTTAGCCTCGCTGTATGTGTTACTTAAAAAAGGAATATTAATACCCGGTCACGATGGCTACCTTACCACTAAGGTCAGGAATATCATTTACTTTGAAGGCTCTGGCAGTCATCTTGTTGTTATTTAGTGTTTGCTTATCGATAGTCGGGAAACACAAGGGAAGGGATAAAGACGGGTGAAAGAAAGAAGAAACTCGGTGCTGACAGCGATCTTAAGAAGGGTGGGAAGGAAGGAGATATTGCAAGGGTAATAGATAAAGTTACTATGAAGTTGGAATTTATACCTAGCAAGTAAGCTCTCAAGCTTCTTCTTCTACCCGGGGGTGTTTCAGGGTTTTGTTTTTTTTGTGGTTACATATGGCTATCCTGTGGTGATAATACAATGTCCTTCCGTCATGAGCGAGGCGCAGCGACTGAAGCGTAGTGCAAAGACACGATACTGCCGCTGCGGCTGATTATTTGAAATGGGGGAAAGCTCTGAACTCGAACCCGTGGAGGCTCGGATCGGCAGAAGCAAACAAACGCGCTTTGATAGGCTACATGTAGTAATCGGCTTCTCTGCAAGTTCTTTTTTTGCCTTTTCGCCATGGGCCGTTTATTCTGCCCCTCCTTCACCCAGGTACAGAGTCCCTGTGATTGGGTGCCGTTTCCACGAGGCTGAGAACAAACAAAACTCATGATCATATGTCAGGAGAATCCCTCTCCAATCAGAAGATAAGGGGATGACATCGGGTGCTGATAAAAGGTTCTACGGCACTGGTAGGCATTCCAGTCGTACCGAAGCTTAAACCCAAGGTATATATCAGACATCTAAGGACCACTTTACCTAGATGACCGCTTTGGTCAAATGTCCCAGAGTTCAACCCACCCTATCCATCTCATCAGTGAATGAGCTCCAAAGGAAAAGGAACGATGCAATACTGTGTTACCATCATCATCACTCATCACCATTACCATCTACTGTATCCAACTCGAAACACTTCTTCTCTTGCCTTGTCAAGATTAAGGCATCTTCACGCTAAGACGTTGAGATAAACGTTTCGTATCAGACCAGCTCTGGCTTCGACAGTGGAAATTAGCTAGGGAATCGGACAAGCTTCTCCTAAAGTTAGCTCCGGGACTCGGAATCCGGCCTGTTCTAGACATACATACGATCTTCGAGGATGTCCGTGCGGGGGACTTTAGCGGCAAAGGAACTCTGATATATTTCCCGAGAATGGTTCCGAATGATGAAGGTAGATTATCGATACAGCCCATCTTATGTTATAATCGCATGTGTCACTGCAGAGAAAGTGCTGTAATGGCACGGTGCAAAATAATCAACACCGCTACCACCAATATCACACCATATATACTTTCCCAACTCGGACCATAGACTCAACAACGCGATATCGAATATATAAACGCCCTGTGGCTCGTTGAACTTCAATATTATTGTTTTCAAATGCAGGTATAAATCTACCATACCCGCAATCTACCCTAGCCCGGATGTCCTGTTACGAAATAACACCATGAGATATCACTCGGAACATTGTCTTAACGACATTTAGGTTTAATTAATTGACTCATTGATTTGAGAGCATCTAAACGCCCTCGCAATACTTCAAAGGTTTGAAACAGAGATGATTGATGAAAATTAAATTCGAAAGAGGGAAGTGAACTCGTTCATTGATGTGGAATAATGCCTTCTACCGCACCTAACAAAGAATGGATGTTTCATAAAACACTATAACATCTAATATTATAACCCCGGGTCTTATGCGAATCCACGCCCTCGGAGTAGCACACTGTAGGTCCAAGCAGTCATCTACGGAAGGGATTTTACCACGGCCGCACCAAGTACCAGAACAGCACTTGTCTCAAGAATCGTAGTCAGTTGTTACTGATCAATATTGTTAGATGGAGACCATGAATAAACGTTCCGAAGGTTTGCGGGAATTCGCTCTTACTTCGCTCAACATGGTACTATTACGACATTAGATGATTATAGCTTCCATTTACTGGCCTTGACTATCTTCTTTAAGAACTCCTGGATTCTCAAACCACGATTTAACAACCCGGTACATTGGTCGATAAATCTCAAAAATACGTCAATGAGTCACCGTCATCGACTTCGAGATTTCTTGCACTGGAAAACTAGCTGGGCAATTTGGAATTTTGTCTCGAAACTTTGACCAAGTCAGTTTGGTTTAACCTGTATCACGGATTTGCCCTACGATTGCCAATCCACATGAAATATTCTAACCTCTAGGCTACAAATATGTAGCTATAACCCTATAATGATAACACAAAAATTAAATGAAAGCACCCTAACCGTAACTCCAGGTAATAATCCTCGACACGCATTCCAACCATATGGATCCAGCCACATCAAGTTCAAACTCTGCGACCGCCAAAAGCATGAGGCAGGCATGCGCAAACACCCCGCCAGAACTCCCCCCATCCTGCTCCGTCTTTTCCCTCCCTATTCCCTCCCCTCAAATTACCCAGACAGTTTATAGGCCTAAGCTCTATATCGACGTAAAATTCATCAGCACAGGGCTGGGGGTTCTGGACGTATGCCATAGCAGCGTTGTTCGTGTATTCTGAAGACATGACAAGTCAAGATTTGGTAACTGAATCGCGGTGTGTTGAAGCGGCAATATAACTCGGGTTTTTATGACTTTATTGACGGACAGATATGATTTGCAAAAGAGCTATATATGCTGAGCGGGCGAAATGGCCTTTAAAGCTTTGTTATAACCGTATCGAGTGACAACTTGAAAACAAAATAGCCTGCCTCTCACCAGTATATAGTGCGTTTTATCTTGTCCATATATAAGGCCCCCCACCCCACCAATACTGTATGAAACAAGGCCAGTTTTTTTCAGTTATCACGTGGTTAATTGCGAGTCTAAAAACTGAAACCGAACCACTTTGTGACCATGCAGACAACAGATTCAGAAGTCATGTTTTTATTCAGTTCAGTTGGTTACTATTTGTCTAAATTCCCAGCAAGCCCTCGATGCCGACCCCTTGTGTGGGTGCTAAAAACCAACAAATCCCGACGAGTTATTAGCCAGAGATTTATTTAAATCGGGTACCTTACTAGCACTAGCCGCAAACTTTATCTTATAGAGTTATATCGACACATCTTAATAGTTAAAAGAACAGGTAGGGTTATAGCAGTAAAACTTATATTTCCAGGAGCGGCGCCAGTGATATGCGGTGATTCAATACTTCTTAGACCGATTGGCCAACCCATTCATATGCAACACCTGGAGATGAATAGTTAATTAAAATATATCAGGACTACATGTACATACGTATATACATACAATTACATATATATATATATATGGAATGCAGTAATATCTTTGAATGCGGAAAAGCAGGCTGCAAATATAATTGCGATTGAGCTTGCTATGTGTAAGATCTATAGCTAGATAAGAGGGAATTCAACATCACTATAGTATCACCCATGGATTCAAAGTATTGGTATTAATGATCTTATGTGCCATCAATACACATAATAAACTTTGTAAGTTGGGGGGGGGGGGGGGGGGGAACATCCGCGATAGATATGGATATCGTTTTTCCATCGTGAGTTTGAATTAACTTAGAGCCAAGGGGAATGTACATGTTAGGATATGAAATCAAACACTTGAAGTAGTACTAAAGGTGAATTATAACTGGTAAAGCTGCACATATACATGCAGTACATTAAAAAAACGTGATTGATAAGACCAAGCTAAGCAGTACTACATGCAGTGATGATGTACAAAATTCTCAGCTCCAAGTCTCCAGATCAATCAAGCACACTGCTTTCTAGCAATCGCCGCTGCAGCAGCAGAAACAATACACACAAGCGTTCCCACAAGAACCTCCGCCTCCAGAATCATTGCTATGACGACCAGAAGTACCGTAGCTGTTAAGTAAGCAGAAATACCATTCCAACAAAAACTCTCCAAACCCCCCTCCTTCGCCTCTCGCATTCACTGGGTCAGACAGGTCAACGTCTTCGAGAGCCGTACCTCCAGTACCAGGCTGATAGGATGTGTCTTGAGCGTATAGCATAGATTGGGTCTCTGTGTATCCTTGACGAGCGGTGGTTGATGATGCCATATGTGTAGCTTCTTTTGTTGTTGTTTGGCTTGTCGATCGGTCGTGAAAGGAAGTTAATTATTATCGCAGAGTTGTTTATGGGTTGTGGAATATATCTACCAGGAGGGATCCTAGGGCTTTTATGTTGTGTCTAGACTTAGGAGCAGCGCAGAGACTGGTCGGATCTCAAAGGATGTTGTTAGCCCATGGCGCTCTATTCTATAGAAGGTGCGACTTTAAGTTCCAAGCTTTTCATTGGTCATGATAAATAACCAGCATTAAGAGTGAAATACAACTTGAATGCAATTGTAGCAGAATTGATTATGAGTAAATGTCTATGAATAAGTTCGAAATACATATAGAGACCCTATGACTCTACCACAAACAGCATCCAAACATTCGAACCTTCAAATTCGGGGCTAGCTAGTACAACAAGAACCGTACTACATACATGTAAGTAACGGCGTGAATTTGTGCCAGTACTTTTGTCGACAGCTCCAAATCAACTAAGTTAAGATACAAAATCTCTAAGGAGACCTAACAAATCAAAAAGAAACCAACGGTACAACTTGTAACTAAGGCTCCTTAATAAACCAGCAGTCAACCCCCCTACAAGTCTTCGAAATTCTCTCCTCAAGTCAGCATTATGGGAGACGAGTAGCCTGTGGTGGGATACACGAAAGACCAAAAGACCAACGAGGTAGCTTCAACGTCACTTCACGCATCCCAACGTAACTAACCCGGAATCTTGCGGATCGTATACAATCGTATGAACAAATACTACAACAGCCAAGACATGGATTCGATTTCCAGTACCAGAGTGACTTCAAACATCCACTATTGCATATTCCCTCGCTCTTTATGGACCCCGGATTCGGGATGCCCATCTCTTCAAAAGTTCTCGCCCTGTGCATGTGGCCATGGTAGCCGGTGTCTTCACGAGCGTATTCCATGATGGGGTGAAGTGTGTACCCTGGAGGCTCCATGGTTTGTATTGGATATGAGTATGAGAGGTGTTGGCTTGTTGGCAGTGGAGATATGCTATCATGAAACGGTCAAAGTTGTGGAGCAAATCTCCAGAGGTTAATAATTTGATACTCATTTATCTATGAGAGTCATAGCTCGAGATCGAGCAGAGAATGAGTATTACTTGCAAACAGAGCATGGTAGTGTATTCTATGAGACCATTGTAAAGAGAATATTTTAAGATTGGGAGGTCATTCGTATTTGAAAATCAATTAAGACAAGTCGTATACTGATGAGAAATTCGAGATACTACAAACATGCAGTAGATAATTAATTAGATTCTGCCCGCCTAATGCGAACAGCTCTACATAAGATTTAGAACTCAAAAAACACACATCAGACCCAGACATCATCATCAAACAACCACTCATAGTCCTCTTTATCACGCCAACTCAATCAAAGATTAACAGCCTTGAACTTGAAATACCAGAGCAAAATATTAATGACCAGACTCAGCAAAAAGCTTATCAACAGATAATCTGTTATAACCTTCAGAATCTCATTTTCCTCCCGGTTTCTGTCCTTGTTCACATTGACCTCCCTATGCTTTTGTCCGCTTTCCTCCACGCCCCCCTCTCTACCCCCTCCCCGTACTCGCCCCCTCCCTCCCTCCCTCCCGCTCCCCTCTCTACTCTTCCCCATATCCCTACCGCTATCCTCTCCATGCCTACCGCTATTCTCATTCCCAAGCGGAACCTCTGAAGCTTGATAGTATTCAAGGTCGGCAAATCCCGAGAACCTGAGCCTAGTAAGGAGCTGGACTTCATTGTGGCTGTCGTTGAGGGACGCCAACTCTTCCTGCTTTGGGGCACACATCTTATGATGGTGAGTTTAATTTTTCTGTGTTGGATTTTTTGATATGGGGTATCTAATGTGGTTGGATGCGAGGGTAGTGTAGTGGGCTTTTATATATCTGTAGGCAGTTAACCAAAGGATTCAAAATTGAGTTTTAGCCCTTACAATTAACAATCTTTAGAACTTAGAGGTCTACAGCTCGATATCTGGTCACAATGATACGGGATCTGGGAGTTCGTTCTATGGTATGCGCATGCAGAAAAGATACCAGCCACGGGAAAAGGAGACGTCGATGTTGCAATTGTGCAAGGGAACTTAAGGTTACCTGCATGCCGATACAGAGTGCTACAAACTCTGGTCCTCTATCTGTTTGGCTGTTGGAAATACAGTTTCCGTGGTTTCGGCATAATTGCGTTCATGGAATATCACTCGATGGCAAACATCCTGCCATCTGATTCTTTTTTCTCTGTGGATGTCGGTTTGTAGGAAGTCAATAGGCCGGTTATGACGGGAGAACTCTTTGGCCAGATCAGAGTCACCAGATTTTGTGTTAGGGTCCATTAATTCAATGGTATCTCGTGGGTTGGTTTAAGTATAACTATTTGAGTTTCCACAATTAAAGTACAGATTCATGAATTCAGCTGTAGCTATGTAGGTAATGATTCTGGGGACACACATGGTTCATGGAGGGCATTGTGTGGTTATGGGACTACCACTGTATCGAAAAAATCATTTCCTTTCTGGATATTGTCCCACATCCCAAAGTCAATTCGTAGAACACCGTCTTGTTCACGTTTCATCACTCGAGACGACACATTGGATCAAGACGTGCTACAGGTATCGATACTCAAAGCCAATTGATTACTCCATTCCCTTACAAAATAAAATACGTCTAACCAGTGGTATACAAGACTACAAAGAAACACACCACTCCCTCTACTCCATCACCCTAGTCTTAGCCGCATCGATATCAGAGGTATCAGGCAGAAGCTCATTCTGCTTCGCTCTTCTCCTCGCATCGACGTACATCACAAACTCGCCATATGTCCTTGGCATAACCTTCAAATCACCCTCCACAAAGAAGGAGTAATTGAACACGCCCGTCTCGACAACACTCCCATGCTCCACATCTCTCACCTTACTTCCAACTCTAACCTGCACCCTACTCCCACCCTTGTACGGCTCGGTATAGGCCACCGTCGCCGTCAAGTACAAGATACTCCCCACCGGCACCGGCGCATCAAACGTGCTCGGGTCAAGACTCAAGAACGTCGGCCGCGAGTGCGCGAATGCAGAGGTACAGCAGAATGCAAGCTCCATAGTGCTCTTCAGAAGATACCCGCCAAATATCATGAACGAGTGGCGGTTCCGATACTGCGGTTGCATGATCGACGTAGATGCCATGGTGGTGGTAGACATGTAGCTTGTGTTCTCGGGCTTTGAGAGCTTAGACTGCGGGTCCTCGTACTGGAGCTGCTCCATCCACATCTGATGGATCAAGTCCGACTCCTCGTCGTTCGGCGTCTGCTTGGCCAGCGATACATCTCGCAGCGCCTTCTTTGCCTTCTGGTACTCCTCTCCCTTGTTAAATATCGCCTTCTCTTCTGGCGTCTCAATGACTAGTGGAGGCACTGGAGTTGCGCGCTTGGTCTGTGGGTTCAGCGCAACCATCGTGAAGGCGCAAGTCAAGATAAGGCCCTCCTCGCCCTCGACGCCGTTGCGCCGGGCTTCCAGAGAGATCTCCATTGACGACTTCCCGACATATGAGACAAACCCACTGAGCTCAAGGTCACAGAACTCTTCGAGCGGGTGGATGATGGAGATACGATCTACTGCCGCAGTGACAGTAGTTGGTCCGGGCCCGGTATGCTTGTATGCCACTACGCCCGCCAGGGCATCGAGGTCCTGGAATAGGGTTCCAAGACGCAGCTGGCCAGATGCATTGACATATCCATCCACAAGCCACTTATCCTTTGCCAGTGGGAGGACCTATCAATTGCGTTCCATCAGCTCTAGCTCATATGCATGTACCTAATTCCAGCTATTCTGGGATACTTACAAGCTTGTGGAAGCTATCCTTCATCCTCTTCGGCTCCAGGCCGCCAGCCGGGAGCGGGGGCGGAGTATTGATGATTCCAGCATTTCGTTCCGAGAGAGCTTGCAGCCAGGGCTTTTGGAGCTTCATCGCCGAGAGCTCTTTGTAGACCCCATCGTACCTAGCTACAGGCGAGACGGAGAATTTGCGGGGGTGCTGCTGGGACAGGCCCTGGCGGAGAGATCTCGCGCAGGTACGCAGCAAGTGGGCTGACAGCGGGCGCGACATTATATTAATTGCGGGAAAGATCTAGAGCAATTAAAGGGAGCGGAGTGGGAAATGATTGAAACGGAAGGGAAGCTGGGGACGTTGGCCGGCGAAACGATTTTCCGTGTGGGTTAGGTGCGGTGTGGTGCTAAGCGAGACGAATGCAGGATGCCAAAGCGATGATCCGGGCTGTAAACGAGGAGACGTAACACGCTCAGTAGCGGAGATTTACATGTAATTAATCAACTCTCTTTACAGTGCGATCGTACGAGTATTGACTGACTGGAGGACTGAATTGATTGAATTCGCTTCTTCTTCCGTGAGATCGAGAAGGGGAAATAATCAACCCTTGCAATTGATTGCAAATGGCCCTGAAGACCTTCATGAAGGAGCATCGCGTGCGTTCGGGATGCGTGGGCTGTGTTCTGTGTGTTTCGGGTACAGTTCGGCCCGGCTTCGGTATTCTATTACCTAGACCGTCTTAATTGCTGCTGCTCTACATTCTCCGCATCCTATGGAGATACTCTAGACGAGGCGCCCCCCAAACTGATCGAGACGGATATAGAAGGCAGTGAATACTGATTATTATATACACACTAGTCAAGTCTTGAACCTCCCCTCCCCCTGCAGTGACTCGACTCTCCATCTCAATATTAATGTGACCCATATGTATCAAGGAGTACGTTGAGTGTTGAATGCTCCAGATCTCACTCGATGCCTTGCTGCCGCAATGGCCACGGTGAGATCATGACTGCATATATGCATCTCCTGTATCCTGTGGCTTTTTAATTCTGCGTGTGAGTGTTTCTCCTCCAAGGCCTTCCTTCATGCAATCACTGACCACAGAACGGTCTTTTGGTGGTGCATATCCCGTCATCCCTCTTTTTCGGGATCCCACTCTTGTAAGTATCCGTGATGACGGCCCTTGCCTTTTATACTTGGTGCCTTGTATCGGGCCATAGGTGCCCACTCTTCCGACCACCCCCTCCTCAGTTTATATACGTGGTCTGGCGGCGATGAAACATAAAAGTTGCACTTTAGAAGACACTGCATGGCGCGGGTTTGTGCACTTCCAAAAGACCCGTGATTGAAATAGTTAGGTATGACTAGAGGCCGTAGAGCATGTAGAGAGGCGGAAGCAGAGTACCACACACCTACCTACGTACTTACATAGATCTTATATGCTGTATCACCGCCCCGCTTTCGTGGGCAGAAAATATCTACCATATGCCCTACTCCACCGCCAGTGGCCAGTGCACCAGTCGAACAGTGCACGATAAATAATGTGCATCGAACAGTTAATTCGAAGTGGGTGGTGGGTAGGTGGGTAGGTATGCAGAGAGGCGCGCAGTCAGACAACCCTTCGAATTTGTTTCCCCAGTTTTATGCTATGCTATGCTATGCAGTCGGCGGCGATCGATAAAATCATGATTTGAATTCCCAGTGGTTTTGGAGGGCCGAGGAGTTTGTTGATCTTGCTTGCGACGACGACGGCGTTGCAGTTCTCGTGCAGTGCAGAAGAACACTCTAAGGCGTGGTGTTGCTGCTTTCTTGTTATCTATCAGCTTGCTCTAATCCACGGCGGCGAGCTTGATCATGGCTGGAGTGGTTCGCCGGTATGTACGGCCGGTACATATCGGGGGTTTTTTTTTTTCTCTGTGGGCTGTTCTTCAATTGTCAAATATCAGTTCGGAGGAGAGGGAGAGACCGGGCAGAATGTGAGTGATAGCTCATGCAGCTGGATTATACGTCAAATTATAATATTACGGTAGAACGTATTTAGCTGCATGTCATTACCGGCCCCGAAACAACACCAGAATTTACCGGTACGGTAGCTGGGCGACTTTTTAGTTTTCTGTGTCATATTATAGTGCTTACCGTGCCGATTAGTAGTAGATGGAGTAGTATTTAGACGTATCAGAAAATTTTTACCGGGAGAGTCGAATGGAAGTTTCCACTTAGCCCTAACTCGATATTTCAACCCAACCCAAGCAGATCCCACACCACCACAACCCAACAACTGCGATTGCAACCACAACGAACCACTACACCACAACGACGAACCATAATAGACAGTGCTATTACTCTTACGCCCCATCCCTGAGATTCGGACTTGTCACATTTCTGTTTCTCCATTTCATTTCTGGCTGCATACGTGCATACTCTATATTGCTTCTAGCTAGAACCGGGAGGGAGTTGAGAGGGCGGTGTGTGATACATCTCTTACAATTTTTCCTTGAGCTTGTGACAGAAGCACTCGAATGGAACCAAGGAACAGCACAGGGTGGTGAGACGCTGGTAAGTTGGAACTGATATATGGTATGGGAAGGGTAAAAAAAAGCAAGGTGATGGTGAGGGATTTTAGGCAGTTGTGGATTGGACGAAAGGAATAGACTGGTAAGTACTCTAAATGGGAGAAACTTTGTGTAAGGTGGGATGTTATCTGTTTAGCCTTTTGATCTTTTTCTTTTCTTTTCTTTACGTTCCAGGATTGATGAATTATTAACGTACGGTATCTAGAGTCTGTAGAGTATGTGGAGTAGAGTAGGTAAGTCTTTCATGGATTGCATACTTAGCTTACAGCTATATTGTGAAATGCTATTATATCCAGATCAATGTCAGCAAAGTGGCTAGATGATTAGAATGCCCTACATATATCATACATGGTCGAGTTCGAGAGGATAAAAAAACTTTAAAATATATCATGGTTCCCTGCAGG